GGCCAAGCAGCATCATAGGAGCAGAGAGGCTAGCAGCATCATAGGAGCAGAGAGGCTCGAAGCGTCAGCCTCTCTGCTCCTATGATGCTGCTTGGCCTGCTGTGTTCATCCAGCCCTGCACCTTGTTGTCTCTGTGTAAATACAAGTCTTTCTTTAAATGTCAGATTTGATAGTTTTAGACATGTGACTGAGTTATTTTCAAAAATTAGTACAGACTTTTTAAATACCAATGTATTGACCACAGTGCGTAGTTTCCAAGTGGTTTGATTCCCACTTATTTGTTTGTGTTGCCAGACAAAATGGTCCCTGTAATGAAGCTGGCAGGAATTCATACAGTAGTTATATCTCTGAGTGGCAGCACTTTGCAAAGATTTTGGTTTGGAGAAGCTGCATGTTTCAGTCTTACATTCTGATCTCTGACCTAATATTACATAATCATTTAAACAGATAAGCAATCTCAGTACATCAAAATTATTGTTGCAGTTGTGATTAACTTGATCTATACAGGAACTTAAAGGTTGTTTGTGTAGACATACATGCTCACTGTACCTACATTACATAATTTTCATATGATTGCAAAAATATTTTTAAAAAACACTATCCAAATCTGCTTTAAAACATGCCACACAAATATACATGTACAATACACACTTGGTAAAAGCTGACAGTTGTTGCTGTCTGATACATTATGGCTTCTGCATGTCAGTGTCAGCTTCTTCACATGTACAGTACACATCAGATAAAAGTTAGCAATTTTTTCAACTTTGTACAGTGTGTTTTGTTTATATCAGTGTGCGTACACTGCAAAGCATGGGTACTGCTTTGGCAATATAAGAGGATATTTATCCATTATAATCATAGATATATCAAATCTGTCAATGATAGAAACACCATATCTTGAGTATAAATAGAAAATTGTTTCTGACTGACCTCCATAAATTGATAGCTTTCACATGTTGTGTACAGTACTGCTTGGTTTTCCCCATGTTTACATGATGTATGATTAGTCACTTCAAGGAGAACACAAACTGGCCTGAAAATAATCATAAGAACCTACTCCAAAAATTGACTATTATACTTGTTTATTTACAAAGTCAAAATTGAAAATTAACCTTTAGCTAAATTCAAGAAGCCAGTCAAACAGACTTGTTGTGGAAAGGCTTCCTGCCTCCTCCTGCACTTTACAATACTGCAGAATTGCAAGAAACAGATCTTTGAGCTTCCAAGCTTTCTTGTGAGCAGACTGGACAACATCTAAAAACTGAATTCAAACAAAAGAAATAAGAGATTGCATAACAGCGCCTGGAAACATATCGCTACATTGTCAAAATCTTGAATAACAAGCTTTGACTTGACAAAACCCTCAAAATACAGTAGTTTACTCATTAATTTTCACATTTCTCAAAACTAAAATGTTGGAGAAACTCATTCTGAAGAAGGGTCACCGGACTCGAAATGTTAACATTGTGCTCTTGCCAGACCTGAATTTCTCGAGCCATTTCTGTTATTTCGTTTTTCTTTGTTAGTAACAGATATACTTGTTGGGTTTAAAATTGATAAGGAAGATTATTAAATAGTTTGGCTGTACGCAAAGTTAGCATGGTACCAGGATCAGATTATTACAGAGCATTTTGTTACAGAGCAATAAATCTATCAGTCAGAGCGCTTGAAGTGACAAAAGTAGAATGTGTGAGTACTTGAAACTTCTGAGTCCTTTGTAAATAAATACTGTGCAATTGACACTAGAGATCAGAGAGCCAGAGCTGTAAATCAAGTAATATTTTTCCAGGGGCTGAGTTATTTCAACAGAGTAAGCCTTTTTGGGCTCTCAGCCAAGAATTCATGATGAAGCTCCTTACAGTTTACAGTATCTCCAAATTTCATGTCATCTGCAAATTTTTAAACTGTTCACAGTACAGCAAACAGTTTAGGTCATTAATATATATCAAAAAGCAACCCATGAGGAATACCACTGTGAACCTATTTGAAAAGAAATGGCTCATTACTACTCTGTTTCATGTCACTCAGCTAATATTGTATCTGTGTTGCCATTGACCATTTTGTTCCCGGAGCTCTAACTTTACTTTTATTATAACTTTTTTTAAGGCCTTGTAACACATTTCAATCATACTACCCTAATTTATCCTCTTCTTTATGTTGCAAAGTTGGGTAGAGTACTTGTAGGTTGGAAGACAGGATGTTAGAATTTGGTGTTTGTAAAATATTGATGTTTGTGAAATGATGGGGGGAAGGCAGTGCGTGGTCACTTTAAAAGATGATGTGCTTTTTCTAGGCTTGGAGATTTAAAAAAAATGTCTGTGTGCAGCTTGTGGGTTAGCACAAAGCATCTGAATTGTAACATTTGTATCAATAGGCTATATGGTTAGCAGGCCAAGCACACTTTTATTTTGTTATCAAGACTGCAAATTTGAATTTAGCCAATTAATTTAAACCAGGCCCTTAGATACTAAAAGCCAATTAAATTTAAATCTGATGGTTTTGGCAACATAGGACCCAATCCTATTGTAAAAAAAACTGGTGTGTCATCAAGGGTATAAAAGATGAGGGCATTTGGAAAATCAGGAGAGAACCAACTACCATCTGATAAGAGATCAGCTCTCTCAGCTCTTAGAGAAAGCATCATCTAATTAATAAATGTACCACAGCACTCTTAGCTAATATCCCAGACAGAAGAATTCACAGAGAGAACATTTCTGACAGAAGATCAATAAAGAAGGCACAGAACATTCTAGAAGATGTGACCTGGTTGTAATTTCGAAAGACTAAATTCTAATCTTTTATTATTTTGGTTTATTTAAGATGGATTTATATTTGTTGGAAAAGCAAACCATTAGAAACTTGCTTTCGGGAATAGTTGGTAGTTAGAGGGGAATTGTTTGATTTATTAATAGTTCAGTTAATTTGTTCACTGTTAGAGTTAGATAAATAGATTGTTACTTGTTTATTATAGAGTGAGTGTCAGGGGTTAATTTCATTTAACCACTCATTTATAACAGATTGGGGGTGAGAGGCAGGTTATACCATTTCTCACATTTCTTTTAACAGATTATAGGGTGAGGCAAGCCTCTTTGGGTGTTTCGGTTTTAGTTATCGGGGAGTCAGCCTCTGCTTTATAACAGCTACCTCATCAGAAACACCAGTAAGTTTGTTAGTTTTCCCCTAACAAATCCAAGCAGACTTGCCTTTAATAACTTACATACCCCTCATTAGCTATTCATTTTACATAGAATAACTCTTTCTACAACCTTTCCCACCACCAAGGTTAAACTGACCTGTAGTTTCTGAGCTTATCATGACATCTTTATTTGAACATGGCTGTTACATTTTAATTCATAAATCCTCTAGCAGCACCTCTGTAACTAAACAGGATTAGAAAATGATGGCTAGCACATCCAGAATGGTCATGCTTACTTGCTTAGTATCCTTGGATAAATACCATCTGATCCTGTTACCTTGTTAACTTTGTGTACAGCTAAACTATTTAGATAATTTTCCTCATCAATTTTAAACACAGCAAGTATATCTGCTACAAACAAAGAAAAACAAAATAACAGAAATGGCTAGAGAAATTAAGCAGGTCTGGCAGCATCTGTGATAGAAAACAATGTTAATATTTCAAGTCCAGTGACCCTTCTTCAGAACGAGTTTCTCCAGCATTTTAGATTTTTGTTTTGTTTTTGATCCAGTATCCACAGTTCTTTTCTTTTTATTTAAATGTATCCGCTATCTCTTTATTCATGATTACTTGGCCAGCATCATCTTCCTTGATAGAGACAGAGATGACATATTTAATGAGTACCTCAGTCTACCCCTTGCCCCCATTTTTAAATATCTATTACATCTGTAGTCAGTTGGACTCCTTTTGCTATTATTTCACCATTAATATACTGACAGAAAACCTTTGGCTTCCTTTTAAGCCAGCTGTCTGCTCTCATACTTCCCTTGCTTCTTCAATTCCCCTTTGAAGCTTCTTCATTTAGCCTCTCTGCTCCTATGATGCTGCTTGGCCTGCTGTGTTCATCCAGCCCTGCACCTTGTTGTCTCTCATTCAGTCTGGTTCTGGGTTTTATTATCCATCCATTACATTTGCTCATTTTCAGCTTCTTCTTGCTTTCTACCTCTTCCATCATCCAAGGGAACTCTAGATTTGTTTCTCCTGTCTTTTCTTTTGAGGTACCAAATGTACCAAAACTATCTCATCTCTAAAGGTTGCCTGTTGTTCAGTTACAGATTTGCCTACCAATTGTTTATTTCAATTCAACTGGGCAAGATTTACTCTCACCCCCATTGAAGTTTGTGCTAACCCAGTTGGCTATTCTTACTATAGATTGTTACTGTTGTTTTCTGTAGCTGACTTGATGCTTATGAAACAATGACTACTATCCCTCAAAATATTCCATTACTGCAATTTCAATCACTTGGCCCACCATTTTCCTAAGAATTCCTCTTAATGGTTTAGAAATTTATTGATGCAGAAAATTCTCCTGAGTAAATTTTGGTTCTCTCTGTCTTGTTACTAATATCCCAGTTTATTGGATACTGTGAAGCTCTGGAAATCCGAAACAGTGAGGGCTCCAGGTATTGGAGGGAGTGAGGGCTCAGTGATTTGGATACAGGGAGAGTTTGGGGTTTTAGATAAATGAGGGTTCTGGGTATTGGAGACAACGATGCATTTAATATTATTTTAATCATTATTTCAATTAAGTTTTTTAATGTTAGTTAATATTTTAATACTGGCACTCTACAATCTGTATGATTGCATTAATGTTCTTTTTTTAATTATTAATTTTCTAATTGTAGAGCTTAGGTGTAAGTTGCCTGTTGTAGTTCTGACACCTATTAATAATAGAAGTACAGTCATCTGTTCTGCAGGGACCAAGATTCATTCAGAAGGCAAGGCTAACCCATACTGCTATCAGCTAGCTACTGTTTGCTTGACCTGATGCTGAACTGCCAGGTTTTTGCCAAACTGTCTCCTGCCCTGGAAATTACATATGATACAAGAAGCACTATGTGGAGGAGACGAGAATAACCCGCAAGCAATTGCTATACTCAAATGATAGGTACCTTTTGAATCTTCTTTTCCTTGGATTTTTTGAAGTAAATCACTGGAAAACCAAGTTCAGAAGCAGCTATCCACTGCAAGATTGCTCGCAATTCTGAGTCAACACATTCAGGGCTCACGTCAAAATTCAGCACAAGAAACTCCCTGTGGCAACTGACTGCTTCCATTGATAACTGAGATGTGCTTTCTGAAAAAAATTTAAAAATAACTCTATGTTCATTCATGTGGAATGATTGACAATCAGAAAGTTATTTGTTTGATTATCCAACACATGGATTACCTTACCATCCAAATGCTCCGTATTGTCTTTCACTGACTCCTTTCCACTTACGATTTCACTGGCAAAACAAAGTAATGATTATTTAACAACGCATTCAGATTTATCATTTATACTGATAGAAGTATTTCCTCTTTGTAGTTCATTCCTTTTCCTATTTGAATTGGTATGTGTAGCTTGCAATGCTATTTTCCACTTATAAATAAGACTAAGGATGTTGATCTTTGTTGTGTAATTTGGCAGATAGAGCTTTAATGTAAAATGCACTTGACCAGAGCATTCTTTATCCAGGATATATCTACAGTTAAACTTGTGCATATCTAGACTGAGATTTTGGGTTGAATTTTTGCACAGGCACTGGGACCCCGATATCAGACCCTTAGAGCGGCTGAAGCTTCCAGGTGGTGACCTCTTACTTGACCACCTTCGTCCTCACCACTCTCTCTTGAGGCTGAAGTCCCATAAACCCTTTCGCTGCTTGCTGTTTTGAGGAAGGGTCACTGGACCCGAAACTGATGCTGAGTTTTTCCAGCAATTCCTGTTTGTGTTCCCTTGTTACTGCACTAGAATGTCAACTTGGGAAATAAGCACAACCCACAAGTCTTGAACTGCTAAAGAATAACTTCCTTTCCTTATGTTTATGAAGATTACTTCACACCTGGGTAAAGCACGTGATGAAAGGCTTTCCTGATAGGTATCCAGATCCACTAAGCCAAGACTACTCGAAGCACTGCTGTTCCCATTGCTAATGGAAACAAAGAATTCAAAATTAAACAGGAATATTTCTCTACAACAAAAAGCATCCTTTCAAAAGAATGTATAATTAATGTAAAGAATTCTCCCAATCCAACTGTTTCACATGTATTTTTACACAATCCCAATGGCTCAAATCACTTCCTATTCTTCTTAAATTTATTATTAAATGCTTTGGGTGTTTTTTCTATATTTAAGAGGCAGTATAAATATAAGTTGTTGAACCACATTGAATTAACTGCATTACCATCTACTTTTTGTATAGCATCCCATTTACTCATGCACAATTACTCTTGAGAAATTAAACCAATTCCCAGTCACGCCTATTTTTATAGCGCTATAATGGATCACATTTTGTTTACTTTTAATACACGTTAATAAATTAAACCACATAATGATGCGGCTGTACAGAACTATAATGAACCAAACCAACTTCCATTAACAGAAAGTAATATGCTGAACTAAGATTTTATTATTCTGCATTCATTTATTTTGTAAAGCCTTAAGCCCAGCCAAATTTAATGTAGTAAATTCAAGATTTAATTACATTAGTGTAGAAAGTTCAGACAATGTTTTCTATTTCTATTTAAATTGATTTGCTAACCCAACAATTAAACATAACATCAGACTAAGATTATTAAATGAGCTATTTTTACCTTTGGCATTTATAGTGTACTACAATTTAATAAAACATCAGCAGTTTTCACCTATACTGCATAGCTCCAAATCCATCTTTAATCATTGATGATGCTTACAATAAGGAAACACTAATTATGACAGGGTTGATTTTAACTTTTTGAATTTAGTGTTAACTGAGTGAAAAGTAGGTCATTCAATATAGTGCCCGGTTAATACCATTTTGTCAGTGCCCTGTCACTGGGTAGTTGAAGTGCCAGTATGTTTCAAACAGAAGGCTTCTTTAAGTATGCAAATTGCACATTTTATGATGCACATAGAATCTCAATTGCCATTATAGGATAGGAAGAATTTGTACCTTTCAGGGTCTCAGGAAATGACAGCCCAGTAAATGCTTTTGAAGCATAATTATTGTCATGATGTGGGGAAACACAGCAGTCAATGCTTCCACTGCAAGATCCCACCATTAGCAATGTGAGAACAACTAGGTTATCTGTTTTGGGTAAAAGCCGAAAGAACTGTAGATGCTGTAAATCGAAATGAAAACAGAGGTTGCTGGAAAAGCTGAGCAGGAATGGCAGCATCTGTGAAGAGAAATCAAAGTTAACATTTCAGGTTTGGTGACCTTTTCACAGAACAGCTGGTCTGAAGAAACGTCACCGGACCCAAAAGGTGAATTTTGATTCCTCTTCATGTGCTGCCCGACCTGCTGAGCTTTTCCAGCAACTTCTGTTTTTGTATCTGTTTTAGGTGTTAACTGATGGATAAGAGTCAGCCGGCACATTGGGAGAACTCATTCAATGTCTCAGCCAAAGAAAGAACCATAGTCAATGCAACATTTCCTTGGTGCTACAGTAAAGTTTCAGTCTAGATCATGTGCCCATCCCTGGAGTAGGTCTTGCACCCACAATATACTGAATCAGAGGCAAATCTACTATTTTAATTATGGTTAACACCTTGGAGACAAAATGACCTGAACTGAGTCTGTCAAGCCCACCCATTCAGTGGGCATTCTTGGAAATACAATCTTTTAGGAGACAGCATCCTAATTGGATGGTAGGAAGGCTCCCAACACTGCAGGCTCAATCAGGAAGCTTGAGGTCAGCAACACTACAACAAGGGGTATGCAAGCTTGAGGGCTTCTCGAGGATGGACAAGGATGGCACCTTTATCTTATTCCATTCATTTCTCTCAGTCCAAACGTGTCACCCCCAAATGAGATGCTATTCAGCATTGGTGGGCAATTTAAACGGATGAGCGCATTGCTCAGAATGCTGCCTTTATGTTTGGAGTAAGAAATGGGATAAAATGAAAACATCAAAACACATTTTTGCATCACTCATATCCTGGATAGCAAAGAGATGGGAAACAAACCAGAATGTGAGAAATGACAGGGATTCCTGCACAAAATTGATTCATTTGAAGTGAATATTCTAAATGTTGGTTAATGGGTTTTGGCAGTGAGAACTCAAGATGTTTCCTACTACATGCACTTGTTACAAGACATGCATCTGATTCATAAATACAGCTTTAACAGGTTGTGACAATTATTACATACTATCCCTCTTGTTCGTAAAGATAAAGCTCTGAAGCTTATTATCTTGGCAGGAATATATATTACTATTGAGGAAATAAGCTTACAAAAGAGATTTCCAAATTGATCCTACAAATGAGTCCCATTAATGAAACTGTTGGAGTGAATCCTTCTCAAGAATATTTTAATTATAGAATGAAACATTGCTAAAATGCATTAACATGCATGTAGGTTATCTGATACTTTAAACGTTTACACAACAACTCAGACTGTGGTGGAGCATCAAGTGATCAGCATGCTGTGGACTTTATTTCTGATTGCTTTCAATCAGTGTGCTGGTACTGATCTTCATAGATATACTTTATCAACTCTTAAGACACCTAACCTCTACAAGAAAGGACATACTTTGTCAGAACTTTTCAACTTGCACTTTTTATCTAAAGAAATGCAAAGGTAAAGGAAAAACAACAGTTTTTACTTTATGAGGAGGGCGTTCTGATTGGTTAACAATTCTGAAATTCTGCTCTTGAAATACTATTCTGAGCTCCCTGAGACAAGGTTACATCAAAGACAAAATTCAGAAATCAACAAAGTACTTGCAGGGAAATTAAGATTAGGTAAGCTAATCAATTTTTCTAAAAGCATATTAAACATAAGGTTGTTTCAGTTTTAATTTCTCAATGTATTGATAATGTTAAAGTGAGACATGTTCCCATATTTGTAGCTTATTTATGTGATATGAGATTGATCAGATTGATGGTAGGGTTAGTAATTTACACTGTGCCCTATGCTGCACTTGAATTGAAGTGCACAAGCTTCTTTCATTTTTAGATTTGATGCATACATTGCTTCAGTAAATGACAGCACTGGCTTGAAACATTATTACATCTTAAACCTACTTGACCAGAAAAGATTTGGCAATGAAATAAATTATGCTATTAAACACACACTAAATCTCTGTGACTGCATACACTTAGAAAGCAAGGAGTTTCTCTTTGTATATAGTTTAAATTGTGTCCCACCTTAAATCAGTTGCAAAGAAGATTCATTGGACTCCAATCAGAGCCTTTCTTTCTCTCTCTGCAGATGCTGCCAGACCAGCTGAGTTTCTCCAATACTTTCCGTTTATATTTCAAACTTGCAGTATTACCAGTATTTTGCTTTTGTGGTATTTGCTGAGTTTTAGCTTCTCTATTCCCAGCTACCCCACTACAAATCAACATCCATTGAAGACAGTGAATCCTTTGAAAGTGATCTAGTACATGTCTATTACATAGTTCTAAGCAACTTGTTTAATTTTCATATGCAATGTGAATGACTGGCAATGTTGTGAGGCTTCAAGGTCAATCCAGATACAATTTGGAAAACTCGAGAACGAGACTGAAATGGTCACCCCTTAACCAGCAAAACTATATCAACAGAATGCGCACTATTCTTAATGATGGGTCCAAAATCTTTTCTATTGGACCTGTAGCTCAACATGACCAAACAACCTTGCTCAAAAGTAAGCTAAAACAATTGTAGGAACAATGAGCTGCTGGGTTATATATGTGATTGGGTTCATCCTCACAACATGGTGCATCCACAAATGCATAGGCTGATGAAAAGTCACTGGAATCAAAACCTACTGAGTTTCTTCAGCAACTTCAGTTTTTGTTTCAAGTGTCTAGCATCCACAGTTGTTTGTTTCATTTTATGCATGGAGTGCCCAAGATACACAGAAGTGATGTTACTTTACACTCTTTTTTTATGACTGGTTCTGCACAAAATGAATTGGGTCAATTGCTGCAATCAGAGCTGAGCAGGTTTACTATAAACATGGTGAGGGGCTCCTTCGCATTTGCGAAGACCATACAGGACTTCTACATTAACAGCAATGGGGTATTCATGTCCTCGTTTAATATTGTTAACGTATTCACCAGTACACACTGAAGGATTCCATAAACATTTGCACTGCAGCACCATATCACAGTGATCTAGTTACTACTACCACCATGTACATCTTTGAATGTATGAACTCAGCAACTCATACAGTTGAGTTCAGTTTTAACAACACCATATATGCCCAAATAGATGATGTTGCTATGGAATCCCTACTCGCCAGCTCCTGCAAACCTCTTTGTTCGATTCCATGAGAAATGTGTTTTCAATGTAATGTCACCTAGCATCCTCCCCCTTGCATACTTCTGATATGTAGATTGTACATTTGCTATATTTGAATTCACCACTACAAATAAGACTTTCCTTATATGCATGTCATAATGAGCTCTATCCTGCATTCAAATCCAAATACCAAATGCAGCAAACAAATGAGAAAGCAACTCTAGTACTCTCTGCTACACTCTATCTTCACTTATCAATGTATGCAGTTGGATTGCTATGGTTCCATGCACTATAAAATTTATCTTAACAGGAACATTGTAAATAGAGCCTGAGCCATTTGTTAACTGGGCAAGCATAATGCTGAAATATGGTACACCAAAGCCATCTTGTCCCCTGAATAGATCACCTCTCACTGTATATTGGGTGAACTTATGAACAGTCTTAAGGCTGTTGGTCCTGAAAAGTGCCCATACTACCCATATTACCATAGAAAAGTAAGCTCTTGTGCCTGGTTTAAATTTAAACTAATCTTGGCAGATAAGTGCCATTATCATCTGGTGCATTCTTCATTGCAACTCCTTTACCAATCAAAGTCCGCTGGCCAAACAATCATCACTCTCTTCTTATACAGTATAAAATGTTATTTTCCCCTTATATTGGTATTTATTGAAAATTGTCTTGATGTCAAAGACAAAAACGCTTTGACACAAGGTTATTTTTCCAGCAGTACTCAAGTTCTATAACACCAAACTTTCATTCGGTGCAATGTCACTCATTTTATTACTTTTCACAACATGTCGCGTGGTGATCAATAATGTTAGGTGCACAAGATACTTTAATCTTATATCAGTGAGCAGCCTGATTGGACCCTAACATTTTATCACCACCCTCAGGTTGTAAATTTAAATAGCAATCGTAGAGTCTCTTGTCCTTCACTAAATCAACTATGATGTTCATTTAACAACCTTTCACTAAGATGAAGATAGCTACTGCTGTCTTCTGCATGATCTTCTTCATTAACGAGCTGTGACCAGCTCCCCATGCTATCATCGCTGGTGCTGAAACTGCATGGAAGCTCATCAGCTCCGACCTTCTCCGTTGTCGCTGGTATGGAATTCTTTAGAATGCTTATTGAGACAAAAAAAACAGAAAAAGGAAATTAATCAATGGAACGTTACTGAATAATTAATTTAAATATTTTTCCTCTTGTTCCATTTCCTTCTTATAAACCAATCATTAAAGAAGAAAATAGATAAGTGGCCAATTTTCCAGGCCTTTGCTAATAGTGCCTGCTAGATTGGTCCTTCACGCACTATTGGGATGGAAGAGGAAACACACCAGGCAAAAGTTACGAGCCAATGAAACTCATTATATGAGCTGAGCCTCCTGAACTCACTGCACAGGTGAATCGGGCAGCTTTGTATATTATGGAGGCAATTTTCCAAATTTACAGGTTCTACCTAGTTGAAAGGACTTCCTACAGAGAACATGTAGCTGAATTCAATTGAATGTACAATTGTGAATGTTTGTAAGTTTTGCCCATTTCTGACAGGCAAGGCTCCTCAATGGAAGCATAAAATTAGAAAGTTACCCTTTTGTGAAATAGCAATGTACTAACATTTCATTTAATATTTGCAGCTAAATTGTAGTGGGTTTCATGTTTATTTCCCCATACTCAAATTATAAATACATGATAGAACCAGTAACTGCAGCAATAAAATTACAATCGTCTATGAATTGGGATTCTGCGTAGCTGCTGTACAACCTGCCTGGTTTTCACTTTTGCATGCTGTGGTAAACCACTAGTGTGGTTTGGTACCCAAAGTGCATTCAAGCCAATGGTAATGAATATTGAGTTGGTTACATAATGTGAATTAATCAATTCATATTTGTATTCTGCCACTGAAGCCAACTGCGAAAATTGTAATTTCAGTGCAGTTTTTAATTTTATGGGTCAGTTAAGAACAGCCACTGCTGTCTTCTCCTTGAAGGTGTGGACTTTGATATTTAATACTTATGCATCATGGTGGCCAACTGTCAAATCACTCTCTTTTGGATCCGTATTTTACACTGTAGACTCTTATTCTCCTGAGAGCAGAAAGAGATTTCTACAAGGCTGAATTTCTCCAATTGATAACAGGTGAGTGAGTCTCCTAGGTGCCCATTCAAGTTTCGAATACTAGCTACCGCTAGATTTCTAGCTTTCCAATCCCTGCTAGAGAAATGTACATTGTTGTGTTGCAGTAGATTAGTTCACAGCAAATTACTGGGTCTAACAAGCTTTGAAGCTACAAAAGATCTGAAACATGGGTCCCAGAACTGGAAATGTTGATTTGAAAATAAAACTTTATAGTAATTCAAATGGCTTAATCCATGAGGTATCGTATGTTTGTTACTATATGTTGAGATACACGAAACAAATACTATTCTCCACCGCCATCTTTGTGAAGCTGGAAGGAAATTTTTATACAAGCATGTGAAATAGTAGCAGAAGTAGACCATTCAGCTCCTGAAGATGGTTCCATCATTCAATAAAATCGTGACTGCTCTGTTTGTGCCCTAAATTTCACATTCCCGTCTACTCCTGATCACCATTATACTAGGTCTTTGAATACATCAACTCCAGTCATAGACTAGCTGACTATATTGGCACCTTCCAGAGAAAAAAAAATAGATTTGATATAAAAACAAAGCTGGAAATTAAACTGCTAGTCTAATGAGGAAGTCCTCTGTATAAAAAAAAAGCCTTGTAGAGAAATATCATCTCCGTATTGATCGAATGTGCTGTATTAAAACTGCAGCTAATCAGATATACTTTGCTTAATTGGTTTCAATTTAGATTTCTTTTGGCAGATTGTTTTCACATGTATGATTTAACCACAACACATTTTTAAATTTACAATAAGTGTTTTGCCATATGTTGTTTTCTCTTATTTTGTTATGTTTCCTTCTTCTGTGATGTGCCAATAGCCAGTCTCTCATGGTCGCCTTCTCTCTCTCTCCCGCCTCCCTCTTATTAACACATGATGATATTCACAATGAAAAGGTGGAACTTTATGGCTGTGAGCTTATAGAGCAGATTTTGAAGTGGTAATGTATGTAAAACTGCTAGAATTCACTGTCATTATTCCACAAGAGTAATAGCAATTTAGTGGTCAGCATGTGCTCAGAATAACATGAAAATCCTGAGGTCACTATCAGTCACTGATCGCTCCTCCAAACATTGTACTTTTGTGGCCGCCCCAGCGCACAATCTCTAAGCAGTCAGTGAATTGACAACAACTTCCATTTTCAATGCTGTAAAAACTCTTGAATACTTTCCACTTTATCTAAGAAATCAATAGAGTTTTAATAATGGACTCAGTTTATCAACAAACTGAAAGCCCTGAAATTGAATTTCAGCATTTTTCCTCATGATTACAATTCCCATATTTTAAAATTATTTTAATTTTGTTCATAATATTTTAGTTTCAAACTAATCAATCATATGTTTTATGATCTGAAAATTTAAATTAAAAGCAAAGGGATTCAGCGCTTTTAACTGTTTGGTTTGCTGTTTACTGTTCATGAAAATGCTTCAATATGATTTTCTGCTTGCCCTACTTGTTAGCATCATTGCTGGGGAATTCCATTTCACAGAGATTACTAGATCTGTCTGGACAGTGTCCTTTGGGGTCATTGGCTGGAGTTGTTGTTTCATCACTGACCACAAAATTCCCCAGCTTGAGATCTACAGTTGATCAGAAAAACAAACACTTCATATTAAACTATATAATCAATGATATTCCTTTAAAACACTGCTGTCTTCAAGACCAACATGTCATCATTTAATAACACCAGCTGTCAGAATTGTTCAGTTACTTGTCTGCCAATCACTGTGAAACTGAGAATGAAATTATGTACAGAGAGGCATTTTGACAACTTTATTGGCAATTTTGTTAAGGGATAAGCACACTGAATGATACAAATTGGGTCAAATCCAGTTCTTAAATTAATTCAAAACTGCTTTTTGGAATAGCCAACATAATGTGCCTATCACATGTGACAATATTTTTGCTATTTTACCACAAATATGATTGGGGAAAATGGCTACTTTAAATACTGTGTTCGAAATAACTGCATTTATTCAAGTTAAAACAAAACAGGTTGAGAAATAAGCAGTTTAGATGCAGATGAACACACTGATTTTTCTTCATTACTGTAACTAATCAAGAATCCATTTACGTTACCTTTGTTGTTGGTGAATAACACTTCATAGAGTTCAGTATTGCGAAGGAACACTGCAGGCCAGGCAGCATCAGAGGAGCAGGAAAGTTGACATTTCAGGTTGGGACCCTTCTTCAGAAATTTCTAAAGGGTCCCGACCCGAAACATCAACTTTCCTGCTCCTCTGATGCTGCCTGGCCTGCTGTGTTCCTCCAGCCCCACACTGTGTTATCTCTGACTCCAACATCTGAAGTTCTTACTATCTCTAGTATTGTGAAGTCTTTGATATCTTTTTATAGCTATTGAGCAAGAGGAAGACATAGATACAAACAAACAGAAAAAGTTTGGAAACAGCATGTTGCACTGCTCATGTGAGCTTAAATCTTCACCGTAGCAAGGACAATAAAATGATTGAGATGGTTATAATCAGTTTAGGGGTGGTGGAGAAGGTGCAGGTGTTAGATATAAATTGTTAGATACATTACTTAAGGCAAATAAAGATTATTCGCTTATGTAGGGAAATGCCATTTATTTATTATTTTATGATCTTATCAAAAAGCTATCCAGACTAATGGGAATGTCATCAAAACCATGTTTCGAGCGCTTAAAAAATAAATCATTCATGCGATGTGGGCATCACTGGCTGGCCCAGCACTTATTGCCCCTATCCTGAATTGACCTTCAGAAAGTGGCGGTGAGCGACCTTCATGAACTATTATACTCCTTGGGGTGTAGGGATATCCACAGTGCTGTCAGGAAGGGAGTTCCAGGATCTTGACCAGTGACAAGAAAGGAACAGTGATATAGTTCTGAGCCAGGATGGTAAGTGATCTAAAATGAAATAGACCAACTTAATGATTCATGTCAAGATTATTCTCATCAAGTGTTTGCTTGCTGTGCTTTGAGAGAAGTCAATGGATCACAGGTGAAAAGAAACAAACATAAAGCTCAGGTCACAGGGAGATATTAAGATAATATCCCTTGCTTATTGCATTGCACAAGTAGAATGTCTGGTGGTGGCAATTGATTCCAATTGAAGTAAATCCTCACATGGATTACCCTGAAAAAGTATGTAATTGATCAAGAACTTTGAAGACTGCCATTCAGGCTTAATAAGTCAACTGGAATTAGTTATTGCACAAACCAACAGCATTTACTTGGCATCAAAGTTTCTATTCCTTTTGCATGCCCAATGTTAATAAGTTTCCACTAGGAATTAAACAGATCAAATCGTAATTATCCAGCCATCTAGAAATTACCTGGAATAGCCATACAGCAAGACAGAGCTAATTTTGTAATTGTGAATGCCCAATTATGGAAAATCTTTGTTTCCCTAACAGCAATGTATTTTTATTCCACCTTCCATAGTGCTTTCAGTGATGAGTCTTCTGGATGATTGGTCTGTGACATCTCTGGTCAGAAATTCAAAGTTATACTCAGCACCTTCATTGAGAGGAAGATTTCCCCTGAGAGACAGCGCAAGAAATGGCAACAATCCAATTAATTTAGTGATAAACTATTCTAAGCCAAGGAAGAAGCATTGACGTGTTTCTTCAGAATTAAAAAGCATTAAATTGGCAAGTTTCTGTATTCTGTTGTGTTAAAGATGTTTTGAAGCCCTTTCCAAGCACCTTCCACCAAGCTTTTTTTAATTCATTCACAGGATGAGGACATCACTGGCTAGGCTGGCATTTATTGCCCATCCCTAATTGCCTAGAGGGCAGTTAAGAGTCACATGTAGGCCAGACCAGGTAACGATGGCAGTTTCCTTCCCTAAAGGACATTAGTGAACCAGATGGGTTTTTCCTCTGACAATTGGCAATGGATTTATGATCATCATTAGACTCTTAATTCCAGCTGTTTATTGAATTCAAATTCCACCATCTGCTGTGGCAGGATTCAAACCCAGGTCCCCAGAACATTATCTGGGTCTCTGGATTAACAGTCCAGTGATAATACCACTAGGCCATCGCGTACTAACTTGTTAAGCAAAGGATCCTTTTTGAACCATAAGACCGTAAGAAATAGGAATAGGACTAGGCATTTGTTCCCTCATAATGAATTTAATGGTTTCTTGAGGGCCAGCTTAAACGAACCTCACTGCTGCTCGACATCTCCTTTCATCTGGCTGGTAATGACTGCAAACCTGCTATCCAAAGATCTAAATATAAACTGTCATCCTAATATCACATTGTACAGCACCCATAGTGTCACCCTTGGCTCATTGGTAGTACTCTGAGTCAGAAGGGAAAGTGTTCTGGTTCTAGATTAGAAATAAGCATAGGTTGATACTTCCATGTAGTACTGATTGGGTGGTACACACTCAGGTGTGTGAGTGAGATGTGAAACCAAGTTCCTAAATGTTCATCCAAGTGTGCATAAAAGATCCCTCTGTGTGACTTGAAAGTGAGTGGAATGTTCTTCAGTAATCCTGACCAATACCTACCATTCAATCAACATCACAAACAAAATATTGTCTGGTCATGTGTCTCATTGCTGATGAGTGATCAAATTGGCAGTTGGGTTGTCCTTTATGACAGCGACTATAGTTTAAAAGTACTCTATTGACTATAAAATACTGAGATTGGGAAAGGTCTCATATAAATGCAAATCCTTTTTCACAGTGGCAGACCATCTCAATGTGTTTTTACAGTGGTGGAAATATTTGAAGGATTTGCAACAAATGTTTGTCACTCACATGATGACATGTTGCTGACTGTTGTACCTATTCCAGGATTACTGTTACTAATTTAAAGAACTCCTGTGTAACGGAAGCAGGTTCCATTATACATTGAAATATAACATTTCCATGCTCTATTTCTCTTTAGAAATTATTTTAGATGGTGAGAACATTGTGTTTGAAACAACTTCAGTTGACTGTTGCAGAGATACTGGACATCAGTTTAACTTATCTTTTCTTGCTACCATTAAAGTATAAAGTTCAGAAGAGCCTCTACCAAGATGGTGTCAGTTTCTTGGAGTGGAGTGAGCCACTTTTTGGAGTGCACTTTGACTAAAAATGACTTTGAAGGGGGTTAAATCAAAATGTATCTGGCTGTTAATCTGAACCTTTAATTCACTGCTAAACCCCCAACTGCATTTCCCTAGAATCTTGAGATTTTCTGATCTGACCTGACATGACCACTCACCTCTGCCATATCCAAACCACAGTCCCATTCTGCTTGACATAACACCTACCCTTCCCAAAAACCTGAACTTGCCAGACCTCATTGAACACAAACCCTACACATTGTGTAATAGATTAAATTGAAATATTTGCAAACTAAGCATCAAGCAAACATTTATCCAATTTGCTCTTTCTTGTTCATCCCAGCCTCAAAAGCACTAAGTGTATCATTTTCATAGTGGCCTCCAACAATTTCTTTAAGGATTGTCAATATTTTATTGACTTCAGTTGGCATATGTAACATGTTGGTGATTTAAATGAACTCTATCTTGACCCAACCCTGCCTGACCTGACACTAACCCGAACTCTGGTCTGACTTGGCAGATATCACAGTTACCCCCAAACCACAACAACTGTTGGATCTGACACCCCTTAGCCCCCAACCCAAACTCCCACTGGGCCTGATGACATCTCCCCCTCTTCCGCCAACCTGACCTCACTGCAACTGATACTCATACCTCCCTGACTCACCTGTGCAGGAACCAACACGCCACCTCACCCAAATCCAATCCATATCAACCTGACTTTACAAAACCAATACCGCTAACACTGGCCTGATCCTCTAACCTACCTTAAACACTCAACCACTTACTTGGAATTCTACTACTCTATATCATTTTGGCACCTTACCCAAATTTGGCCACCTGGCACTTCAACCACCTGGCATACTACCCTCGTATGTACACCCTTGCTAGCTGACCTTCCTCACTTACCTTTCCTCAGTTACTGTCAACGTGGTTTTGGGAACATTAACTCCTGAAACACAGGGCAAATCTTGGCCAGTATTGTTACTTCTGCATTGACAGCATTTCTCTCTGGTTTCCTCTGATGGATGCATTTGTGACAGGCCAGGAAATTCATGACAGAAAAGTAGGTAATTTTAAAGAAGATTTCTACAACCAGTTGAATCTGTTCTGATGACGATCAGAATTCCTGGGCCGTTATCCAAGGGGGAGAAAGGGCAATCTAACGAATAAGCTCTTTGGAGAGACAATGGAAACAGAAAGCACATTTAAGTAATTCAAATCCAAATCAAATATTTCAGAAAATATTTTGGGATGCAGCAATGGAACATTGGCTTCCAGAGCTCACCACCTCTGCAGGGTTTTCCATGCCTTATGCGTGGCTGTGCTGGAGACTAACAAGTTTGTCATGACTATGCAACAGCAGCATTATTATTGTATCATACGCCCATCTGAATGAAGGAAGGCAAACGAGAAAAAAACCAAGATCTAACCATGTTGTGCCATCAATGCTTATTATCTCTTATTGTTTTATAATTATATTTAAAAACTTCAGAATTTTCGTTTCGTCACATATGCACTCTTAAATAAAAGTCAACAAAGTCATCTCTTTGTGAATCATTTACCTGCTAGTTGTTATTGAACTAGACTCAGTATGCCATTCACCATCAACTTCTGTAAGCTTCCTTTCTAGTGGCCTCTTTTCAGCCAATACCTTGCTATCACTGGTTGTCTTTGCTTGAAGGCATTCTTTGACATCTTCTCTTTGATCATCCTCTATATGAATTAAAGGGACTTCCCTCGCACAGTGGGACAACTGCTTTCTCTTCACTGTTGCCCAATCATTTGATGTGAAACACATCTTTTCATTTGCTACTTTTGCTTTCTCCAGTTTGTGTTGGATGGGTGCCTCACATTTTTTGTTTTTTGTTCCAGAGTCATGGGATGCATATTCAATGGAGTCCTGCTGACCACTGACAGATAACTTGCCACATCTAACAGGATCTGAAACTATTCCAGTGGCATATCTTTCAACATGTGGCTGGTCTCCGCTGGGCAGCTGATCAGCATTCTGATTGTCAGTGTCATCACAGATGATTTTATTCTTTCGCATTAGAGCCTCAATAGAATTTGACCAAGTTTCATTTATCAGCATATCTGTCATATGGTCAGTTTTACACTTCTGATACAAACAAGAGTCTGTTAGAGATTTATAGAGATTAGTGGACAATGCCGTGTATCCCATACGTATATCTAACGTATTTCTGTGGTCATTTTGGGCAAAGCCATCAAAGGAATTTGCTTTCATTGGAGGAGTTACTGTTAATCTCTCCTCTGATGTTCGTCTGTCTGGCATTGATGACTGCCTGAAACACATGATTGTTCTAGCAGATGGCACTAGCAATTCCTTGTTGGTTTTATTTTCTTTGCTTTCTTTATCCAGTTCCTGCAGCATGTATCTATAGAACTCCTCCGTAATGCTCTCTGTGCTAGATTGTTTCGAAAGACAGGATGCACTGACGCTAAGATGCCCGTTCTTTTTGCACACCTGTTGGAGTGCCGCGTTTAAGATGTTGCTGGCGTGCTTGCCAGCATAGTAATCCAGCAGTAAATCAAATCCCCATCCTTCATTTTCCATTTGACTCACCATAAAGTTGGAAAATTCGTCGGTGATACTCTCACAGCTTGACTGCTTGGAGATGGAACTGGCCCTGCTTATTGGCTGGCCAAGTTTAGCCATGGTACCCAGGGCAGCCCATGAACCGTTGGAATCTGCATCCTCTTCTGGAATGCTCTCATAACTGGAGGCCTTGCCCCTGTTCCACCTCTCACATAGTAACCTATTTCTAGTCAGGCCCAGACCTTGCTTCACAGAATCAACCATGGCTAGTTCTGCCGAGTTTACTATTTTTCCTGCCACCTCATTGGCAAAGTTGTTTATTGGCTCCAAGGCATCATCAAAGTTCAACGATTCATCAACCACTCTGTTCATTAGCTTTTCCTTCAGCTCAGGCTGTTCTTGTGTTTTTCTTTTAATCTCACTAAGTCTGGGCGGCTTAAGTCTTTTGCTAACTGGAGACATGGTTTGGGATTCTTTACTCCTCATAACTACCCTGGATGAGGATGACTGTGGAATCATGAAACTTTCAGGATCTCCAAGTCTTCTTTTCCATGGACAGAACCATGGCTGCTTAGCATTTGTATTTTCAAGACAAATGGCTGCCATCTCTGTCGCCATGGAAACAACTGTTTTCGCAATCTGGTCAGCAAATCCATTTATTGAAAAGTTTGCTTCTGTTGATTGCATAACATGGGTTGAAGAATTAGGTAGGCTTAAGGCATTTTGTGCATTTATCAAAAGTAAGTTCTGTTCTCGCTCTGGCTGAGATTTGGTTCTCTGTAATTCTCTGGTTTCTGCGAGCGCATTACTATAACCACATGTTTGTGCTGGCATGGCACCACTACATCCCATATCTGGCTCATAAGCGCCAACAGAGGAACATGAACTTGCATCTTTGTCATATGTTTTCTGTTGGTGTTGTGGTGTTACATAATTGGTAATGGCAGCACTGACAATCTTTGATATCTGTTGGTCGGTCAATTTGTGTGTGTTATTTGCACAGTCACTACCTCGTCTACTGGAAAGCCACACTGAGCTCAGATTAACTTGTTGCGAAAAGTCCGATTCCTCAAATACATTTTTATTTGAGATTGCAGAGTCTATTAGGCTCTCTTGGACAGAAACAGTGGTGTTGGGTTGACCAAAGTCTTCAAAACTGTCATTGTTAAAATAATTCTGTGTAATCCCATCCTTCTGTTTGATAGTATTTTCCAAAACCTTCCAGTTGTTGGCTTCATCTTCTTGAAAGATCATGGAAACATCATTGTTCCTTACAATGTCCTTGATTTTTCTACAAGTGGAGTATATTATGCTGAAGAGAGATTTATTTGCAGTCTCAATAAACATGCTGGTTGGATTCCCATCTGAATGATTTTCTTTCACCGGATTTGTTAATCCTACTTTTTCATTTGCTTCTTGGAAAGAATGCTTCAGAATTAAATCTGATATATTATGGGTAAAGTCATCCTTTGACAATTCCTCCCAGTGAGAGACTTTTGGATTTGTCACTGTTCCAATTAACTTCTTGCCCATGGATTCCATGAGCTCGCCAACACTTTTATAGTGGTCTGGTTTTGCAAGAACAGTGGCTGCTTCTTTGAGCAATACCTCAGCAATGTTAGAAGCAAACGTTTCGACACAGCTTCCAACACTCACACTGCTCCGGAGAGTAACTGCAGCAGAAGTCTCAGCTGCAGAAAGAAGACCACTTGAAGTAGCAGAAAAACTGTTGTCTTGTTCATCAGTTAGCCCACCTGCAATACCTATAGCACTGGCCACCTGGGTCACACCATAGAGTGCTGAAGAGAATGAGAATTGCATTTCATCACATCTACAGTCATTTAGTAATATTCTTTTTTCATTCCTTTCACAGGATGGATTGTCTGTATCATACAAGGCTTGGTCTAATTGTAGACTCTCAGCAACATAAGGGCTTGAAACAGTTCCTACAACACTGGCTGCACAGACTAGTGCTATCTCCACAGAACTGGGAGGCAATTCACTTGTCTCAGAATTCTTATGGTCCATCACACATTCCTGTACACAGGATGGAGATTCACTCAAGGGACTTGAGTCCAGGTCTGACGCCATTGTTGGACTAAACTGTTCTTGCCATTCTGGAGTGTTCTCACAGTTGTCTGGACTTTGTACAATAACGATTTTAGGAAGAACATTCCATGGACAAGGAGGGGTTGTTGTTTCTGCTTTGAGATTGCCGGTTGAAAGGGTATCATTGTTTTCTGCAGAGATGCTAACAGCAGCCTCTGTGGTAAAAGTACATTCTGACTGGGATAGTCTAATGAAGGCATCTTGTAAGACAGACTCTGCTAAGTTTGAGGCATATTCACCCTCCACATTTGGATTCTCCTCTGTTGATGAAGAGACACTAAGTTTATCTTCAGTGTCCTGTGTATCCACAAATGATGCGAGGGAGTTGTTTTGAAGATCCTCATTAAAGCATTCAATTATGCAAGACTTGTGCTCTTCCTCCAGACCATGTTTCATAGAGATATTGTCTGGAAATGATTTTAAGATGAATGTTCCTTTCTGAGATTTTTCATCTGGATTCTGCCTTCCTATGCCTCCGTCTACAGTATCATATTTGGTTTCACAGTAAAGGAACTGTTCAGTGTTTTCAGAGCTCACTTCACTTGTATGCTCGGACACTGATGTATCCTTTGGATTAAATGTCCTTTGAAGAAATACATTCCCTTTGTTCTGTCTCATCTGCAAGAGACTCTTAGTCTTTGCTTTAGGTTTTTTGGTACCTGTTGTGGGGTCTGAACCAGTAATATTCACAGTATCTAGAAGAAACAAAAAAATTAGTTTCACAATATTTCTTGAATTTATGAATCATTCTTTGCCCTTTACAAAGCATTTTGATACAAAAATACACATTGCAAATATTTTAATTTAATCTACCACACAAACTAAGCATTAAGCAAGCATTTATCCAAATTGCTCTTTCTTGTTCATCCCAGCCTCAAAAATAATTAAGTGTGTCATTTTCATAGTGGCCTCCAACAATTCCTTTAAGGATTTTCTATATTCTATTGACTTCAGTGGGCATACGTAACATGTTGATGATTTAAATGAACTCTTTCTTGGGAACTAAATGTAATATCTCCCAGTTTGCAATTGACACAAAGCTGGGGATAGGTAAAGAATTTCACACCCTGTTAACAACAAAAATATATACTCGAGGCTGGATTTATCAGTGGTAAAACTTCTGGGATTAGTAATCCAAAAGATCAGGCTCGTGTTCTGGGGGCTGTGGGTTTGAATTCACAATGGGAGCAAAATTCAATTTCAAAACCTGGAATATAAAACTAGTCTCAGTAATGACAACTGTCACTGACTGTTGTAAACAAAACCCACCTGGTTCACTCATGTCCTTTAGGGAAGGAAATTTGCCATTCCATACACGGTCTGGTCCACATGTGACTCCAGGCCACTAGCATTTAGAATCATAGAACTTTACAGTGTGGAGACAGGCCATTTGGCCCAACAAGTCCACACCACACCCTCCGAAGAGCATCCCACCCAAACCCAAACCCCCACCCTTTCCCTGTAACCCTGCATTTCCCATGTTTAATCCACCTAACTTTCTCACCCCTGGACACCACAGGCAATTTAGCATGGCCAATCCACCTAACCTGCCCATCTTTGGACTGTGGGAGGAAACCAGAGGACCCGAAGGAAACCCACACAGACACGGGGAGCATGTGCAAACTCTACACAGATAGTCACCTGAGGGTGGAATCGAACCCAGGTCCCTGGTGCTTAACTACCTTCTGAAAAAGCTGAGAAAACCACTCAGGTCAAGCACAATTAGGATGGACCAGAAATATTGGCCTTGCCTGTGATGCTCATATCTCATTACAAAACAAAAAATGCTAATTCTGTGCTACACTGTACTATAGGATTGAGTGAGCAGCAAACTTTGTGCTAACTTGAGAAATATTGACTTCAAATAAGACCTCACCACTTAAGACATTGTGAGTTTCATCCTCCTCATCATCAAAGTGCTCAGGGGCAGTGAGAAAGTCTTCTTCGATGGATGATACAGAACAATTGGTGTCATCACCTGACTTGCAATTGCTGGTGTGCTGAAGGTGTATTTTCTTTTTTTTAACATAGTCCAAGCCAATCATACATTTATTTATTTCATAAATGACACAGGCTATGTCATTCTTCTGGCACCTTCTGGCTGATCGAACTAAACAAACATCAGGTGGTCTGTCCCACTGTGGGGGATGAGGGAAACATTCATCTTCTAAATGATTGGAATGAAGACCCTAAAAAAAAGAATTTTATAAAGTAAAAGGTGTTGCAAAAAAAAGCTTTGAATATTTACAGAAGAGGACAAATCATTGAAAACGAAATAGATCAGTTTAAGACAGGGAATATTAAAAGCTGTATTATTTTACTCATATTGACTGTGATTATTGACAGGTTTACTGGTGTACTTTGAGTTTATTGGTGTGATCCACAATATTTTTGTATGCTTGCTGGATTAAGGCTCATAGGCCCTAAATCTTCATGGGGCAAGTGGCACACATCCAGCGCACGTTCACCAGATGCACAGCAATGCTGCAGGGAGACTTGCAGGAATCAGAAATATTGGGTCCAAGCCCAGGCTGTGTATCTGCAAAGTGTCTGGCTGTGGTGGAACATCTGTGTGCTGAATACATGCCCTCCGATATCAGAGTGAGCATGGAAGGAGGAAATGAATTCCTACTCAGGAATTTTTGAAGATCCTAGCTTCGCTACACTGAGCACTCTGGTGCAAAGGTGATTGCCATCAGGCATGTGGAATACGCACTAGGATCCAAGTCAAGATTGTAAGTAAAAGTGACCCTCAGCCCTTTTAGAGAGGAAGATGGCTGGAAGAAATAGCAACTGGGCGAATCATGTGTGTTAAAGCTATGGCACATAGCCTCTCACCTGATCTGTGATCAAGAGGTGCCAATGCCAGTATAGGTGGCAATTGCCAGCAGTCCCAAATTATCAAGCCCTGACTCCAGAGATTCTGCTGTGTCTGTTCTACCACATTTCTATTGATAAAGCAAGGCTGATTAATTTTGACCTTATTTTCCTCATTCGTAAAGATGTTTATGCTATCTCTTAGAATTTATTAAAAATACAAAATGTAATCTTTCTGAAATGCAGTACTATAAAGCTAACATCTTTTTTTCATATTTTAATTAATCACCATCCTTAAATAGATTTTGTCTCATAAAGCAATTAAGTTGGAAAGTATCTGTTATAACTCATTTGCATTGACTACTGATGTAGTGGAGGACAAAAGGTCCCTATTTGCTCATTTTAAAATTTTGATTTAATTGTTTTAACAGGATACTGCACAACCACCACAATAAGCAGTTACAGCAGGTTTTGACGCAATATAATTCCAAATTAAAAATGCATGCTAACTAATTAAAAACTAGAATAACTGGTCGCAAACCATCATGGAAATGCTCTTTATCTGTTTAAAACATAAAACTTTCAGGACACTAATGTGGAAAGGAATTTCAAGAGATGGCACTTGACTAACATTCTCTAAACAGGTTTATTGTGTAGCATTTATTTACTGCACTTAACAAAGCAGAATATTGCATTGTAATAGCATCATTGATTTGAAGAAATTTGGTGAAAATGTGCTATTGCCGTGAGCACCAAATAGGGACTCCAGAGAATCACCAGGCTGCATCTTTGCAGCAGACCAATAAGTGGAAATGATTAAGCTGTTTTAAGACAACTTAGTCATTGTTATTAATGATCTTTACTTCTCATGTCACAATCTCCATTTTCTCTCCTTCCTAGCTCCAACTATTTAACAGAAACTTTCCAAAGACTTGAGTCTCATTCACTGAAAAACAATTCATTTTTGAGTCTGCTGTGCATTCACAGATTGGACACTGACATAATCACATTATTGAATCAACCAAGTCAACTGTAAAGATGTTTTTCAATGAAAATCGCAAGCTTCATACCTGGGAATCATCTGAATTGTCATAACAGCTTCCTGGAGAAATCAATCCACTCACAAGGATGAGTTCATTATCTTTCATTTGACAGACATTTAAAGAATTGATGAGGTATGGAAGGTCAGGGGACACCGTAACTAATTTCTAGATAAAGTAAAACACAAACATAAGAGATTCATAATAAATGTTAACACATCGTAAGAGTGAGTTAGACCAAAAAGGTAAGCAAATTCCCAGACGAATATTGTGCCACGTAAGTGTTAGCATCAGCAGAACATTCCAGAGAGTCAGAAGGACTAAAGAATGAAGGAGAAGAGGCAGATACTGATAAGGAATGGGGCAAATAGTACCAGAATAGGATAATAGAGCTGAATCATAGAATCCCTACAGTATGGAAGCTGGCCATTCAGCCCATCAAGTTCACACTGACCCTCCAAAGAGTATCCCATCCAGCCCCACACCCCAATCCTATCCCTGCATATCCCATGGATTATCCTCCTAGCCTGCACATCCCTGAACACTACGGGCAATTTAGCATGGCCAATCCACTTAGCCTACACGTCTTTGGATTGTGGGAGGAAACTGGAGCACCTGGAGAAAACCCACACAGACACGGGGAGAATGTGCAAACCCCACACAGATAGTCACCCAAGGCTGGAACTGAACTCTCGTCCCTGGTGCTGTGAGGCAGCTAACCAGGAAGTATGGAAGGTCAGAGGTTAAGATTAAAGATTAAACAATCCTTGACTGTGGGAATAAGATATTAATAACTAATAATAGTAACAATAAGATATTAATATTATTAATATCTATCTTTGCATGAAATGTTAGAATTTAAATAATGAAATGCCTACATGACCAAAAATGACACAAAGTTCCTACAATTTTCTGAGTTCAGCAGATTGTTCATTTTATCTAGTGGACTTGCCCTGTGCACACTTGAATAAACAATCAGAAATCTGTATGCAAGACTCCTGCAGTGACCATTAGAAGTAGCCAATGCAACACCACCCAGCTAATCAAACATACCTTGGCCTCAGTTTCTTGATGGAATCTTTTCATAGTAACAAGTTTGTTGATGGTGGGACAGCAAGCGAACATGGCTTCTGTTCGGGAGTGGAATAGCTGACCTTGTGGTGGCCAGTCCATTAGCATAGTCAAGGGATGCAGTGAAACATGTGGAGGAGAGCAGGAAAGAAGGCGGCACTCCAACTGTTAATTAATAGAAACAAAAACTGAAGTTGCTGGAAAAGCTCAGCAGGTCTGGCAGCATCTGTGAAGACAAATTAGAGTTAACGTTTCGGGTCCGGTGACCCTTCCTCAGGGAAAACCTCTGTTTTTGTTTCTGATTTGCAGCATCCGCAGTTCTTTCAGTTGTTACTTAATAGGGTCGGTGGTAAAGGCGCCATATTTAAGGGCACCCAGCGAAACATTCATTTTGTGCACGCCAGGAATAACACTCAGGCCCTTAGAGTGGATGCCTTGAGACTGCTGCAAAACCTTCTGCTATATACCCCTCCACCCCTGGGATAAAATCACTGCTGCCACCATTTACAGGTCAGGATCTCACAATTAGGTCTCAGCCCGGACAATGACAGGCCCCATGGTTCAAGGATGCATTCATGCAGGTACACCTGAAGTCTAGGCTTCCTGTCTGACCAAAGGACCTGGTGGAGGCTGTAGCCATGTTCAAGGTCATGGGGCCCACTTTAGAGCCTGGGCATGGTGCCAAACACAGATCAGTGTTTTGCTGCACTCCCCAAGAATGAATGGCATTGTCCAGACACAGTGAAGTGAAGCTGATAAGTGCAGCAGGCAGTGTAAGTTAGTGAGAGGAGAGGGATGTCACACAAGAGTTTGAATTGCAAGCCTCATTAGCAGACAGAATACATGAAGTGAAAATGTGAAATCATGGATGTGTACCAGGGATAGGAGTCTCAAGCACCTTTAGGGCACACACAGGAGCTGTTGTTAGCTTGCATATCGATAAAGTGGTTATGCACCTTCTGGAATGAAACTGGAACAATCTGTCCCCAGGAGAAAGATATTCATAATCAATGTGAGTGTAGTCACACAGGCGGAGGAGTCCCTGATATCCACCTGCTGATACCCTCTGAGCAGGAGGCCATGGAACTTGCTAGGGAAGACTGGGATTAAGTATACAGTTGGAGAGACTGGAGCCTCCCAGACATCCAGTAAGGAGGCCTCCAGTCTGGTGTTCACAAATGGACAGGTGGGAGTAATGTCTGCAACAATGTTGATAAAATGGATTGTACAGGTCCATCAGCCAATTCTTCATGCTTTACACTGTAGGTTCTCACAGTGAAAGGGAGACACAGCTTTCCAGCTCGAGTACCACCTCATAGAATGCAGACTCAGAGCCCTCAGACGACACATACCCCAGCCCCCTCCGTCAGCACAGAGACATTCATCTTGTTAGAGATTAGGCTTGGGGTTACAACATGGTGAGCACATCACAGGCACATACCTGAAGCTGGCAGAGGATGTGATAGATGAGATCTTTGACACTTGGAGGACTGAAGACCAGACACATGCTGAGGCCCTGCAGATGATGAGCCTCTAGATTCTGCCAAAAAGAGACCTGTTCACAAGGCAGAGGAACATCTGACAGAAATGCCAGAGCCCATGAAGATATACCCTATCGTTTTACCTCAATCATAGTGAGTCTCCAGCAGAACAAGCCAAGGACAGTGCAGGAGACTTTCAGCATGCCCGAGCCCTCTGAGCCCTGGCTCATCAGTGGGTCCCTACCAGAGTCATTTTAGTGACTTGTAGCAACAAAAACATCAATAAATTATACTGGCACAAAGGTAGCACAGATGTCTAATCAATGCATTTGTAATCTTACTGATAAATGTATGTTTCATTTCACTTTGTTCATGAATGTTGTAGTTTCATTACATTGCTCATTGTTGCATTGAAGGTTCCCATCAGCTTCTGATGATCCAATCTTGCGGATGCACCATTTATTGTTGCGGCATTGCTGGGTATTATTTTCTGACATTAAGCATTAACCCATGGGCATCACTTGTAAAGTTGGAGACTTGGGATGCACCCGTCAGACAATGTTCATCAGATTCTCATTGCTGTGAGGTTGCTGTCTGAGTAGTCTTGAAAGCCAAGTTATTGCAATCTTATTGGTGGCCACAAGACATTGCCCTCATTTGGAGAATGTGTCACTGAGACATGTGTAACTCCTTCTGAAATTACGAATAGATGTAGTTTCTAAACTAGCAGGCACGAGTGGGCTTGTCTGTGTCAATGACCTGCAGCATTTTCCTTCCAGGTGCCAGACATCCACAGATGGACACAGTATTATACAGGTGGTGTTCTGGTCCTGTTACCAATGATGTGGTCATTTTTCTAGTCCTAGTTGGCTGTGTTTTATGTCACAGGACCACAATACCAGCAGTGTTAAGGTGAAAACATCAACTTTAAAACAGCCAAAGTAAAAATGCAATGTGCTGAAACAAAGATTTCTGCAAGCATAGAGAACCGTGGGCTCCTATAGTTATTGTAGTGCCTCACCCTGCCTGGAATCTCCTGGCGATGAAGGTGCCGTGGCCCTGTCTGCCATGTTGCACCATTGTCTTGGCACCTGCCACTGTAATTCACACCATGTGCCTGGTCATCAATAACATGATTTTCACTTGCCCCTGGAGCGAGGAAAAAACTAGCTCCTTGATCTTCCCCTCTGCAGATTCCACCCCACCTCCCCACTAACTCCCCTAAACCCACTTTGCTCACTGAGGTTGTGCAGCATACAGCAGATCGCATTTACTCTTTCTGGGCAAATACTCCAGTGCTCCACCTGAGTGGTCCAAACAGAAGAACCTCCTCTTCAGCAGTTGAATAGTCTGTCCTGGGGGATCCCTTGTGGAACCACATGTGGCATTGTATCTCTCCTGGTCTGCACTTTGTCAACTCTGCACAAGTGTCATCGGCTATGTTCAGGATGGGTATCCCCCAAGAGATGGGAACCTACCCTGCAGCTAATGAACAAACACTTGTGATACTTGTAGGTTAATGTGGATGTACGAATTACCAAATCTCTCTAGGTAATGTGCACACACCGGGTTAGTTTCCAATGCTCACAGACCAGCTGTCTGTTCAGGGTGTGAAACCACTTTCAGTTTATGGATATTTCTGGCCGATCACAGGAAGCTCTAAGCACCACTTGTGTGCAGTCAGTTGCCCTTGTGGGAATCCTGCGATGGCAGCAAAATTGCACATCTCTGATACCTTGACCTCTAAGTCTGTTGTGAATCTTAAATTTGTCAGCTCTTTGGGACAAGGCATTGTCACCTCCCTGGTGTATTTATGACAGGCTGGGATATTCCACACATGTCCAAGCCTTGAAAAGAGAGCCAGTAATGAAGAAGATCATAGCCATGGTGATTTTCAATACCACTGGCACTGGATTGTCCTGGCAGACACAGGTTTTCCAGGAGAAGCTGTCAAAATTGAGCAATAGCAGCCCATCTCATCTCAACTGCCTCCAACACTTCCTCCCTCACATTTCCAGGCAGCTGCATTGCCTGCTGTAAATGCTTCAGGCCCTCTTGACAATGTATAATCCTATCCATCTTTGTGTAATCAGTAAAATTTAGCCACCATGCATTCGGTCCCTTCATCCAAGTCATTGATACAGATCATAAACAGTTGTGGCCTCAGCACTGATCCTTGTGGTACTCCATTTGTAACTCCTTGCCAACTCAAAAATGATTCATTCCCCCTGCAGCATGATTTCTTATTTTGAGTAGTAACCTTTGATATGTCACAACATTGAATGCCTTTTAGAAATCCACATACACCACATCCCCAGAATCCCCTTTATCTATTTTGTGTGTTACTTCCTCAAGTTATTCTAATAAATTAGTTAAATTAAATGTCCCTTCCACAGAACCACATGAAAAATCATGATACAATCAAGAAAAGTCTATGTCTTCCGCAATCACCTCACAAGATGGTGGCAGAGTAGGACTCTCCTGTTGGAGCTCCTCTGCTCTGCCTACTCTTTTCCCTCTTTTCTTTTTTCTTCTTCTCTTGCTCAGCAGCGGAACCAGCAGCAAGTCCAGAGCAGTGAGCCCTCTTGCCCAGAACACTGCGGGCAGCGAGCCGTGCAACAGCGCATGGACTGCGAGCCCAGGAGCAGCGCAGGGAACAGCTCCACAGCAGCACATGGGGAAGCAGCCCCAGAGCATCACGCAGGCAGCGAGCGTGAGCCGGCAGCATGAGGTGAGGTGAGATGATGGAGGGACCGTGGCCCTGGAGTGATGGAGGGACCGTGGCCCCGGAGCCAACGGAGAGGCCACGTCCCCAGAGTGTCGGAGGGGCCAAGTCCTGGAGCGATAGAGGGGCCAAGGGATATTCTCGGTGGCACATTGTGGACTGGGAAGACTGGAGCAGGACATTCTCAGTGGCATGGAGTGGGCTGGGAAGCCTGG